GTGGATTAAATAAAATAATAATTTTTTTAGTGGAATCATACCAAATTGTCTAGAACAAATTGATCTAGATATATATAAATTGTACAACTGTAGAATCTTATAATACATACAAAGTATTAATGCACTCATCTGATCTCTTTTAAAAGAATGATGAGCATGAATGTAGAGAACAGTAGTCATAAATGGTGAAAATGTTGGTGTGAGGTTAGGATGTCTTTGGGTGAGGCGACGGTGCCGGTATCATGTGAATAGTTTGTGTGTGTGGCTGTGGTAGTGGACATTTCTCTCACTAGATCCACACTGATACAGATGCCGGATGTATTTGAAATTTGAAACTTGAATTGAATTCAACTTTCAAGTTCGACATGTAAACGGTGACCCAAAAGTCCTGAGTCGATTTGAATATTAAAATTTTCTATCGTGTAACACATGGTTATACATTTATTTCTAGCGTGAAAAGATGCAGAAAAACACGCTCTGTACAATGACTTTTGATTGATCCTACTAGCTCATATAGCAAGAAAATTAGAAACTTAGAAATGTGTCTCACAAAAAATAAAAATTGGGTTTGGATGTGAGATGTAGATGTGGATTCAAACTGTGGATGTGAGATGTAGATGTGGATTCAAACTGTGGATGATGAGAAGTTACACACCTACATCCCAACAATGCAGGAAAATGTCCACCACAATCAGGGTTCGGCATTTGTATTATTTATTGTAATGAGTATGCCGACTGTGCTGCAGAGCAAAAATATTGTGATGGCTATCCTCGTGTGCATAGAAAAAACCTATCTTTCGAAACACACAATACTTATCAATAAAAATAAAACAATTTTTCTTTTGAAAATGCTCGATGTGGGTATATTTGTCAGCTGACGCTTGATAATATAAAAAGTAAAGAATCTTGAAAATATATATACGTTTTGATTCGATCATTTATTTCTATCGCTACGAATGGCTCTACTCAGCCTTGTTCTCATCTTGTGCGTCGCAGGAGCGTCTGCACTAGTTGCTGGTGCTTCGTCTGAACAAAGTTCACGCATGTGTATGATCTATTGTCAATACGGTTTTCGACGTAATACCGATGGACATTTGATGTGTGTATGCAAGAAAAGTCCATGTGACGAGGAAGCAGCTCCACTCGAAGGTTACTTTTGCGGACGTGGTCCCAATCGTCGTGAATGTCCATCAACACATAAATGTACCATTGCACCGAATGATGCTTATGCTGTCTGCTGTCCTCGTGCTCAACAACCGCCTGAACGTAATCCAAACAAGCCAGGCGTTTGCCCACAATCATCATCACACCTGATGGGTATTTGTATTGCTCGATGCACTGATGATAGTGAGTGTGAAGGCGAGCAAAAGTGTTGCGGTGGATGCCCTCGTCAGTGTACGAACCCTGTCTTTGCAAAATGAATGAGTGCAATAGTTCGGTGTCATTATTATTATTGCACACAAAATTATCATTAAAAATAAATATTAGGCATAAAATCGTCACCACCACCAGATTAGACTTGTTGTCGATTGAACATTTTGATGGGGTGTGGGTGTGTGGGTATGGGTGTGAGTGTGGGTATGGGGTGTGGGTGTGAGGTGTAGGTATGAGCGTTTGGACCCGTGTGTGGGTCTGGTATGTGAACAAGTCTATTCTTCAGCCACACCCACTGCCATCCCCTACACACTCATACCCACACTCCACACTCACACCACACCCACACCCTATTTATTTGCTTTTAAAAACAAGAAAAATTATGAATTCTAATACCGTATTTCTGATCGTTTCACTATATTATTATATAAAAATTCATGCTCTATTCCGCTTACACTAGTAATTTTTACTATTCCTCATTACGAAAGGTTCATACATTTGTGTAGTAAGAATAAAAAACTCTTGAATGGGTGAAAAAAATATTCGTCAAAAAAAGAAAAGTAATCGATAATCTGCGACAAATTACTCGAAAATTCTTTTTATATCAGTTTATGGAAGAAAAAGTCTTGAATTTCCGTATTCAAATTTATTTTACGTTTTTCTCACAACAGCGTTTTTGATTTTGACGTTCTCATGTATTCTAGATTTTTCTGCCATTTTAAACTCTAGAAAGCTGAGCTTGGAATCAAAATAAAGCCCAAAATCAGTTCTACAACTTAACAGAGCTGGATTTTTTGATTTTATCTTTAACGTTTACTAAAAACTAACCGTTCAAAACAAGACCTATGACAGCTCTCAGTTCTATGAAGCGATTCTTTTTCGAGAACTGATCCAATGGTCAGTTCTTTTTTGAGAACTAGGTCTCATCTCCTGTTCTTTTTCCTTTAACGACTGGATTCATTTTTAACTCTTTTTTTGGGAGAATTGAGTCTGTTTTAGTTTTGCAACAGTAGACGTTCATAATTTCAGATAAACTCCTCAAAAAAAACCATTGTTGAAACAGATCACAACGACGCAAAAAGCCCATCAGGAGAACATACTATTTCATATCGCAACCACCAGAGAGAACGAAAAAAACCAAGACAGAATTATGACACAAACACCCTTTTCTTTGTCTAGTGTTGAATAAAAGAGAGAACCATTTTCTTGTCCGTCATTCGAGAGACCTGAATGCTATAACTTTAGGCAAAGCTTTGAGGAAAGAACATCTACACACAATGAGTCGATTTGGCGACGTTGAACATAGTGATAAAAAACTGCCTCCCATCTATGGTTACTGTAGTCAACCACTCGTACCAATACATCAAAAACTTTATAGGCTTCAATGAAATTTATATCAGAAATAACACAAGCAGTGCTACTAAATGAGGGATTGACCGACTGAAAACGTCTGTCTATTTTCGATTTATGAAATACACACTGACTGTAGATACTATCTATTATAACAGAGTTCTAGCTTGAGCAATTTTGGCGCTGATATTATCGCTGGTCAGAAAAGAAGTTACTAGTCTTTCGACGGTACTTTTTTTTCACATCAGTATTCATACATCGATGAATTTTATTAAGAACGTGCTCATACGTCTGCACAGTAGGATGGTTTGATCCAAGTGCTTGACGCGCATTGTTGAGGGTACTTGTTTGATGTTCGATAGCCTCTTTGCATAGACACAAACTTTTTCAATGCTACTGCTAAGTTGCTATGGATCAAGGCTAATAAAGTATAATCGGATATAACAGTCGCTTGTTGAAGTTCAAGTGCTATTCCATGATAAGATGTATGTTGTAAGTGAGTAGTCTCGGGTGTTGGTGTTAGTGACTGAAGAAGATTAAACCCACACCTACACTCACATTCTTAAAGAATCAAAAGAAACGCATTCCATAGATATAAACTAGAATAAACTAAAAAAATCGGAAGAAACGAACAGCAAAACAAAATTTTGCAGTTGCATATGCCTGTATTTCATGCTTGCAGATCAAGTCTGGACGACACTTAGGGAAGTACTCAAAAGCTGCAAAATGCGTATATGGCAGTCGTAGTCGAAACATAAATAGAATAAATATATTTCAAAGAATGAATCAGCTAATAATGCCATCCGTTAGAATAAACATACGAAATAAAATAAGAAGAAAACACAAAATAAATATGAGAACGATTTTGAATGAATGAAAAATAGGACAAAAAAAGAGAACAGTAAAGAATATTCCTTGGTAAATTCATCACCAGATTCAAATAATGAAAATATCTAGAAAATGTTATTCAATATATTTGTACATTTCATCAATTTGCTTTTGAAAATATTTTGCTAATTCAGATCGTTTTGATTTCATCGTTGGTGTTAAAAGATTATTTTCAACTGAAAATTATTCAGGATGAAGATAAATATCTTTTGCCTAAGAAAAAAAAAAAACTTTAAGTTTCTCTAAGATCTTCTAAAAGATTAACATACCATTTCAAAAGGGTGTGGGTGTGGGTGTGAGTGTGGGTGTGAGTGTGGGTGTGGGTGTGGGTGTGGGTGTGGGTGTGCATGCGGGTGTGGATGGGTGTGGGTGTGGGTGTGGGTGTAGATCATCTCTTCATTCACACCCACCCACACTCACACCAACACCCACACCCACACCCACACCCACACCCACACCCACACCCACACCCACCCACACCCACACCCACATCCACACCCACACACCCACACTCACACCCACACCCTAAATAAATATATACTTGTAGATATACTTCAGTTAATTGTATTTGATAGGACAAGTTTCACTTGATTAACTTTGCATTAAATGAAACAACATTTTTCATAGGTAGAATGTGTGTGAATGTGGGTGTGAGTGTGGGGTGAGGATGTGGATGTAATATTAGAAGACATTCACACACTCACACCCACATCCAACAGATTTCAAACTAAATTTGACCCTTTAACTGATGAATTTTGGTCTTCGACTGATAAGCTTCTATTGAATAGACATGGAACATTCATTCTAAAGAACTTTCATGGTAGAAAGATAAGACTATACAAGCGATTATTCAGAAAAGATGAGTGTTGACAGTCAGAACAAAAGATTGAAGACAATATAAGAAATATTTGAAGAAAATTCTTATATCGAAAATATCCGATTACAATCTGTTTGAGAATATTTTTCTAAGAACATAACGTTCTCTAGTGTTTCTTCTAAAAACGAGCGTGCAAATCAATATATTAATGGTCATCATCTAGTAAACAATATATTTTGAAAATTATTGTTAAATATAATTTCTAAACTACTGTTTTCATTATTACTGAATGTTTATCTTGTCAATCATGCATGAGCAATCTGTACTGTCAGTTTAGTATTTTTCATAAAAGTTTTAATTGCATGTCTTAGACCTTCTTTACCAATACCATTGGATTCTATGATGAGTGTGATGAGTGTCTATGTGAAAAATAACGATGAAGATGATATACACGGGTATAGAAATAAATGTACTGTATTATTTTGTAAAGCATTAGCCAAATATTCGGCTCCTTTGTCTCCAATTTCATTATACCAAAGGTTGAGTTCTTGGAGTACCTGTATGAAAAAGGCAAGACGGGAGATGAGAGAGACAAATAGAGGAAGAGATTCACCGTGTTCTTTTCTAAAGCATCAGCCAGATGTTGGGCTCCTTTCTCTCCGATTTGATTTTCTTCAAGGTTGAGTTCTGTCAGTCCCTGTGCGTGAAAAGATAGATACGAAAATAAAAGCAATGAATTGAGAAACAAATTCACCGTGTTATTTTGTAAAGCACAAGCCAGATATTGAATACCTTCGTCTCTAATTTGATTCAAATTGAGGTTAAGTTTACTTAGCGTCTGTGTGAAGAAATGTGGATTAAGATGAAAGATATGAAAAGAGAAAGCAGTTTACTGTGTTATTCTGTAAAGCATCAGCAAGATGTTCGGCCCCTTTTTCTCCAATTTCATTGCTACGAAGTTTGAGGTTGGTGAGTGTCTGAGTAAAGAAATACAGATGAAAATGAGAGAGATGAAAAAAGAAAAAAGTTTACCATGTTCTTTCGTAAAGCATCAGCAAGATATTGGGCCCCTTCTTTTCCAATTTTATTGCTAGAGAGGTCAAGTGTGGTGAGTGTCTATGTGAAGAGTGAACATGAAAATGAGAGAGATGAAGACAAAAAGTAGCTCACCGTGTTATTCTCTAGAGCATTAGCCAAAAATTGAGCCCCTTGCTTTCCAATTCTGTTGGCATAAAGGGAAAGTTCTCTGAGACCCTGTGTAAAAAAAACTGAAGATGCAAATCAGAAAGATAAAGAGAGTAAGACGTTCACTATGTTGTTTTGTAATGCATGAGCTAAATATTGAATCCCTTCGTCTCCAATTATATTGCAGTCGAGGTGGAGAATGGCTAGTGTCTGTATGAAGAAATACAGATAGAAATGAACGAGATAAATAGAAAAAGAAGTGAACCGAGTTATCTTGTAAACCATTGGCCAGATATTGGACTCCTTGGTCTCCAAACTTGTTCGAGCCAAGTTGAAATGTGTTGAGTGTCTGAATGACGAAGTAAAGATGAAAATGAGATTAAACAAAGAGAGAAAGAAGCTCACTCTATTATATCGTAAAGCATTAGCTAAATTTTGACATCCTTTCTCTCCAATTTTATTTGATCCCATATCAAGTTTGGTAAGTGTCTGAACAAAGAAGTGCATATAGAAATAAATGAAATGAAACAACAACAAAAGAAGATCACTGTATTTTTTTGTAAAGCATCGGCTAGATGTTCGACTCCTTCGTTTACAATTTGATGGTGTCGGATATCGAGTGTAGTGAGTGTCTATGTAAAGAAGTGTAGATAGAAATAAAAAAGATAATGAGAAAAAAAGAAGATCACCTTGTTATTTCGTAGAGCATGAGCCAACTGTCGGGCACCTTCTTCTCCAAATTTGTTGTCTATAAGAGTAAGTGTAGTGAGTACCTGATTGAACAAGAGAACATGTACATGAGAGTGATGAATAGAGAGTGAGAGTTTACCATGTTATTGTTTACAGCATCAGCTAGGTATTGAACTCCTACATCTCCGATTTTGTTAAAATTGAGGTCGAGTA